GGCTCAATACGACTACCTCTGGCGTCTCGCACCCGGGGCCGTACTAACCGAGAATGTGACAGCAGACCCGTTTATGAGCATGGCGAACGGTGGAAAGACTTTTGGATACCTGTTAACGGTTGTGGATGACAGCCGTTGCACGGCCGGCTTGCTCGAGGCGACAACAGGGTATGCTCGCCAAGAGGACGTGACGCCTACGTTCCTGGAATTGCTCCCTCCTGACGCAGTTTTCTACGATGGTTTTATCATCAGCCACAGTGCCTTTTGGCGCAGCCCCCAGTACTTGTCCTTCTTTGACTATTTGGACTTGGAGGGGGGCATGTTCTACCAACGCTGGACGGAAGCCAACATCTTGACCCAGGCATTGGCTTTGTTCGTGCCTGTGGAGGAACTGCACCGCTTCAGCGAAGTGGGCTTTGAGCACACGCCCTTCGTCAAACAAAGCAGCAATCGAGCTATCCTCAAGAAGCCAGTGGAGAGGGTTTGGAGAGACCGCGACATCAGCGTGGAACCTGCTCCGGAGCTGTCGGGACTGCTTGCGCCGCGCCGCTTCGGCTATCTAGGTTCAGATGTGGCAACATCTTTCCGCCTGCCCTCCGTCGCCGGCCATGGGTCGTACATGTGGCTGCTCGGAGATACCTACCTAGGGACCAGCGACGGGCTCAAACGCCAAGGCATGCACACGACCATAAGCAACGCAGTAGCTTTCTTCCCTTCCGGTGCTGATTTAGGAGCTGCAGGAGAGTTGTTAACTCCATCAGATGTCACCTTCTTCTGGGGTTATGACCTGGATGGTTCACCAACAGCGCCGTTCGAAGCAGAGGCAGGCCAGGCGGCTGGAACGGTGCTATGGCCTGTAAGCGGCGTGAGCGTGGAGTATCAGGGAGTGGTCAAGATCGTGCTCTTTGCCCAACGCGTGCAGAAGACACACAATCTCACGGATTTTCTGGGGGTGGCAGACGGAATGAATTTCGAGGTCGAAGGCACGTCGCTCATTGTCATCGAGAATCCTGCCGCAGCGCCCAACAGATGGCGATATAGTGTGACGGATATCGCCGGCACTAATGGAACGCATAATTGGTTTTCCGCCGTGGCGGTGGCCGGAGGAAAAGAGATTGCGGACAGTCCGGAGGATGTGCTCTACCTGGTAGGGAATATTGGGGCGCGGGGCTTGGGGGTGTACGACGACGAAGCTTCTAAAAACGTGCTGGGCCGAATCAAAGTAACGGATCTGCTCAAGCGCAGATTCGATCGCATGGAAGTTTTGGTGGAGGAAGCTCATGAAAGCAGAGAAAGTGACGGGGAAGAGCTTTGGATGTCTACCGCGGAAGCGGAGGCCTCGGTGGCCAGAAGGAGGAAAGGCATTATATCGCCGGCAAATGCTGAGACAAGCCTGCAGTACAATTCCGAGCTGGGCGCTTGGGTCTCACTGGCGGTGGACAGTGTAAGCGCGCAATTGGTCCTTTGGAGCGCGCGTAGCGTGTCGGGCCCCTGGACGTCCGCTGTTATCCACAGCATTCCCGCCCCATACGACGATTTGAGCTTATATCGATGTTATGCCGGAAAAGGGCATCCCGAACTTGCACGGGAAGGTTTGCCTGGCGGGGATGTGGAGTTTGTATTCAGCTATGTGTGCAATGCCCCGTCAGATTCCGGCATTTTGTTTGACGAAGGACAGCTCACCTTGTACGCGCCTCAATTTATTCGTGTCCGGCTTGGTCCTGCTGAGGATGGGCGTTTCTCATGAGGAGCCAATAGCCTGTAGATGATTCAAGGAAAAAAGCAAAACTGTAGCTAAGTCATGTCTGCTTAAATCCCTTTAAATAGGAACCTAGATGAAAACACAAATAATGTTACGATAGTTTAGTCTTGAATGGTCGTATCAGTACATGCTGGACAAGGGAAGAAACCAATTCTTTCCAGCATGAGATTTCGGTGGAAAAAAAGCAGGAATTGACCAGGCTTTGGTCAATTTTTTAAGAAAAAAGTATTCTGTCGTCATTATTCATGCTTGCAACAATACAGTGGTGAGAGGGAAAGAAAGGGGTTTCCAGCTAATAGAGCCACAGCTTGTACAGCAAAATTCAAGAAAATGTGCTAAAATGTCGTCAGAAAGAGCCATGACGTGATTTGCACCTAGGGTAGCAAAGTATGGGGGGGATAGGGGTCTAGATGACTGGGATTTAAGAAGTACTGAACACGATCAAGACACGTAGCCAGACACTGTCGACAAACATAGTGTCGCTTTTGTTCGTAATCCATTGGGAGAAAAGGACTTGGGTGCTGATAGCATTCGTGCTTGTCCATGACTGGCTGGAGTCATAGGCATTACAAGTTGTGAAAGCGGACTTTTCTTTGATCCTCTGTGGAGCATTTTGGATGCAGAGAGAATCGGGAACGTGTCCGTTTCGACATGCTTGATGCAG